GTTTGCTAAAGCACATTTGGACAAGCCAGCTCCATTTTGGAATAAGGTGCTGTGGACTGATGAACTGACTGATGTCGTTATGCATGGAGGAAAAATAATACAGCGCTCCAAGAAAAACACCACAGTAAAATGTGGGGGTGGTTCCATCATGCTGTGGGGCCAGTACAGGGACTGGGAATCTTGTTAAAGTTGAGGGACWCATGGATTCCAATCAATATCAGCAGATTCTGTAGACCAATGTCCAGGAATCAGTGACAAAGCTGAAGCTGCTGAAGCCGGGGCTGCATCTTAACAAGACAACCACCCTAAACACTGCTCAAAATCTACTGAGGCATACATGTAGAAGAACAAGTACAATGTTCTGGAATGGCCATCTCAGTCCCCAGACCTGAATATTATTGAAAATCTGTGGTGTCACTTCCAGAGAGCTGTCCATGCTCAGAAACCATCAAACCTGAATGAACTAGAGATGCTTTGTAAAGAAGAATGGTCTGTTATTTCTGTGAAAGGAGGATCTACTAATTATTGAGTTGTTTTTTTTTTTTGTCCAAATTTATGCACCTGCCTAATTTTGTTTAACCAGTTATTGCACACTTTCTGTAAAATGTAAATCATATAAACTTCATTTCACTTCTCAAATATCACTGTGTTTGTCCCCTATATGATACATTTTACTGATTTTTTGAATTCAAACAATCAATGATTTATAAAGGTAAAGATGATGAGGACTGATACAAAAGTTATCTGTACACAATCAAATCGCAATTTCAGTCTGTGCGATACAAAAATGACACAAAATTATGTACACTAGGTTGCCTTCAGGTCCAGGCCACCCTTGCAAAAGAGATCTTTGATCTCAATGGCATTAAATAAATAAATGAATGGTAAACTTCATCGCTAACAGCTGAGGGGACCAGGGTTACTGAATGATGCACAAGCAGAAAACCATCAGGAAATTATCTTGTTATCTCGAGAAAACAGTCCACATTTTTTCCTGACATGAGAAAACCATGGAAAACAATTATATACAGAAAATGGCTGCTCTTTGCTTCTGTACGTCTAAATACCGAAGTGCATTTTATATGAGGCCTAAATATTTCTACTAGTAAAACTAAGCTATGTATTTTTGKACAGATGAACATACACTGTACTGTGGAGACAGTTTAGCCTAGTTTACAATGTGTGCAGCTTGCAGTTTGGCAATGTTTTCTCACTGAAAAAGGTCTAGCTTCCTCCAAAGCCTGTGTTGAAACTGGTTCTGTTGCAAATGCATAAATGACCCTTTCCTATTTGCCCTCATTCACCTGTGAACGTAGACCTTTTAATTGTGTTTCGATCACAGCCAGAATGTCCATCTAAGTTTAAAAATGTCAAAACAGTATTACAGACATGGATTCATCAGGCTACAGAACATTTTCTGCTTTGCCATGCAGCTGAAAAAATTGCTGTTGTTGCTATAGAAACTTCAAACTTAGGAAAAAAGATTATTTTCTGAGCTGCATTTTAATGTTTATGTTATTCTGAATTTTGAGTAAATGATATTTTAGATCTTAGTCTGATTTTCCTTTTATTTGATGCTTTTTAAATACTCTTTGATCAATCCTATTTATATTTATGAAGGTTAGTTCCCTTATCATTTGTACTTTTTTGGTTCAGAAAATTTATTGGCACACATTCACAGCTGCATGCATGATCCTGTGAAACAGATACTTAACCTGTGTGCACAGATTCATAGCGCAGAAAAGTATGCCTAGCATCTCTCTATGATGACATTGAACTTTTAGTGCGACTAGGACACAGAGTAACAGAACGTGAGGATGAATTTGGAAAAGCAACAGAAAATAGGGCCATCTTTTCTGCAGGAAAACTTGGTGACACACAAAAGTAACAAAGTGGGACGGGAATCTGGGGTCTGAGAAAGTGAGGAGAAGTGAAGCAGACCCGTTCRCAGCTCAGAGAAGATGTGTGTGTCCGTATGAGTTTGACCCTCTGTGCCATCTGCTGACGAAGCACCGTGCTCTGTCTTCACTGTGATTTACGACCTTGGTTTCTACAATAACCCTGAGGAAAGTATTTCGCCTCGACACGTGTAGCCCTCCAGAGTAGTACACCTGAATGCAGCAGATCAAAATTCACCCTTTGCTCCTAGAAACTGAGTGATTACATTATCCTATAATGTCTTTTTTAAGTTTTTTATTCTCTTTCTAACTTTGGATAGCACCCCAAGACTGACCATATGAACTTGAGCTGCATTCCCTTTTTCTGTCCGAACAACAAGATGACAAAGACACAAAGAAATCATTTTGAAAGGAAAGGCTTACTTGCTACCTTTCATTCACAATTTTAAATTTATGTTGAGAAATTATAAGGTTAAAGCTGTTTTGGTCAAGACATTTTGTGTTATATTGCTTCCTCTTGACCAGGTCATCATTGTAAATGAGAATTGATTCACTGATACACTGCTCAACATTGTGAGTTGTTTAGTTATCGTTTCATTAAGTTTCTGTGTAATTGTGTAAGCTAAGTTTGTGTTATAAAGGATCAAAAAAATAGGTTTTTGCCTGCGTGAGTGTTCTAGAGGAGATCAGCATTATGGTCAAGACAAATGTTTCAACCATTGGTCCAATAATCACCATCATCATCAAAATGTCTCTTCCGTCTGATTTTGTTCCAGCACCACTGAAAGCTGTCATAATCAAACCTGTCCTGAAAAAATCTGGACCCAGAAATTCTTACAAACTACAGACCCATAGCCAATCTCTCCTTCCTCTCAAAAATTCTGGAGAAACAGCACAGAATTTGCAGAAAAAGACGTGTTGAAAAATGTACAGAAATGAATAWGATCTCATTGATGTGAATGCTTGATGAACATTCACATAAATATCAAAGAAAAAAACTGTCTAATTTGGTGTGTAAATGAATGGAAATTAGCAGTGAGTTTTAGAACCAAGGTTCCCAAACTTTCCCACATAGCCCCACAAATGGTATTAGCTCATGGCTGGGGGACCCCCTTGCAAATCCACAAAAAATATGTAAAGAAAAGAACTTTAGACTCTTTTTTTTATTTTGTTTTGCTCTCGGAGGAGTAAGATGCTTTTTTCCTTCTCTCCTGCCTTCCCTTGTCTTTCCCTGCTTTGCTGCTCGAAGCCTCCTCTACGTTTTTCATCCAAAACCAAAAATTATGGATTTATTTTTATGGATTTGGTTAGCTGGTCTCCTAATAAATATTTGGAACAATTTATTTTTTCCCTGGGAGGACACGTTAAAGGTGGAACCTCTGTTCTGCTCTGTTCAACTAGCTGGATATAYATTTGGATTCTGATCACTGGATTCTACAGATTGGCTTGGTGGTCTCTACAAAACAGCGTCTGTGGCTATTCAGGCCATTTTCCTGGCTGCCTGACCAATATGAAGGATTGCCGTACTATCAGCACTCAGACTTTTGCCTTGAGCGAGCTGGACTCGGTCTGCAAGTGGTTCTGAGGGTCACGGGCCGGCTGTGGTTCCTGGACTTTGCTGGCGAGATGGAATTGATCTTGGACAAACTGAGAGCACAGCGGAATTGTCTGATTGGATTCGCCACATTGAGATGTACCAGCCAATATTAAGGCAGATGGAAATTTGTTCTTGTCTGCCTGCCTGAAAACATTTTCTCTGTTCTCAAACAACTGATTACAGATTTGTCTCCCCCTCCCAAGTGACCTTGAAGGCTGTGGATCTAATTTCTCCTGGTGTTTACGTCAATTTGAGGCTCCTCCCCCACCTCTCCTCCCTCTCACTCTGTCTAATCTGATCCCCTGAAGGTCAATCTAGAGCTGCACAGAATGAACAATTCATCACCAGTTTTCTGAACTATAGCTGAACTACGGGTTTTTCTTTTGGGAGGCTGGATTCTTCGGACTCATTCCCTCTAAACTCACGTACTCCTCAGGCTAATAAATGTGCTCTTGCTTTGTAGAGTTTTTTTATGAATGCCATAGTGTATCATATTTCGTTGATATAATATGATGCATTTTTTTTCCTCATCTAACCTTCTGTGGTATTTTCATTTTTTCTTTTTAAAGGTAGCCCAACCCCTGCTGGTTGCCGCATGACCTGTTCGCCTGTTCCCCCATGTTTTTGTCATGTGTGTCTTCTTGAATGGGTGTTCTTACATGTAATTTCATTGTGCTCCGTACAATGACAATAAAGGCATCATCAATCAATCAAGTTTTTTATTACCTATTCAATAATTGTTGTTTATTTTAGCAGAAGAAGTTCCTAAAAATAACGTTTATATTCCTTCCTAAAACAACTTTTCAAAAAATTACTGACAATACAATACAAAATAAATCCAACCTCTCTTAAAT